ATGAATGAATGAATGAATGAATGAATGAATGAATGAATGAATGAATGAATGAATGAATGAATGAATGAATATATTATGCTCTTTCATCAAGGAAAAAAAACTTTCTGAACCAGAGTGAGGACTATCTGGCCGTGGCACGACAAAACCGCGCTCATCAAAATAGCGGTGATAAAACCGCGTCGCTAAAGCCGCGATGTCATCACCGCACGTCATCACCGCCGCGACAACAGCGTGGTGACAGAAGGGCGCTTTAAAACAGCACGGCGGCAGAAAGCCGATTTAAATTAAGGTAAAGGTTTAGGGTTAGGTTAGGCTGATTGCTTCGGAAGGCGCAGATTTGCCCTCCGCCCTTATGTCAGTGCGGTAAGGTCGCATTTGCTTTAGCGATTCGGATGGCGCGGATTAGCACTCGCACTTATGTCTCCGCGGATAAGGGCTTCGCGGTATTGTAGTGGAACCGGCCACAACAGCCACCCTTCACAAGATAGATGGCCTGACCTGGTGACCTAGATTAGGTCTGTAGGGCAGAATCCCCCACCCTTAGCGTAAAGGGAATAGCTTACTTTGCACTTTTGAACTTCTGATTTCCTAATAATACCTGATTCCAAAGTTCTGTAGTTTGCTCCAAACAGCCTTTCGGAAGAAAAAAAGTGAATTTTTTTGAAATGCTGTCTCTGTGATATAGAAGAAAGATCGGAGGAGCTCTGAAACATAACAGTCCATCAGCCAGTACAGGAATTTAGACATCAGCTGTTCTCGGAAACGATGCTCGGAGGCAGGAACAGAATGGGCGTTCTCTACAAGGAGAATCCAGATTTAGTGACAGTGAAGAAGATTTCTGTTCTTGCAAGAAGCATCTATTCAAGTTATCTTCACAACCAAGATAAAGGTTAAAGGTTAAGTTAAAGATATGACAGATAAAATGATGCAGACCATTAAGTAATAACTGTGAAATGTCTAATGCAAATGTTTTTACAGTGTAATAATGCTGAATTATAAATCAAAGATGTAATTGTATGTGCACTTCTCTCCAATGCATGCACTGAATCTTAATAATAGGAACATCAACTTCTTCTGCCAAAGAGGTCAGACTCTGAAAAAAACCCCTGCCTTTTCAAACAAGCAGGCAGTCTAATAAAATGCCTATTTACAAAACCAATTTACATGGATAATTAAGAATGTAAAAATTACATTTGAAGACATTTTCAAAAATAAAAGTACTATGCCGTGGATACCTGTCAGCGTTCCAAGTATCATGTAGAATTAAATCAGCCTCCAAGGGAAAACGCTCCTTAAACTTCCAA